TGGGTGGGTGGGTGGGTGGATGGATGGATGGGTGGGTGAGTGGGTAGACTGATAGATGGGTGGATGGATGGATAGATAGGTAGGTGAGTAGACTGATGCTTGAGTGAAAAGGTAGGTAACTGGGTGAGGTGGATGGATAGGTGGGTGAGTAGATGTCTGGCTCTGGGTTTTTGTTAAGACCAGTTAGAATTTGTGCTACATGGGTGTGTAGATGGGTGGGTGGATGGGTGGAGGGAGGATGAGTGAGTGGAAGAATGTTTGCAGGAATAAGATTTAGAAAAATTGCACATTGACTCAGGCAACATCTTTCCCACTCCAGGGTCCTCTTTATAATTCCCAAGGTTATCTTGTTCTTTTCATTTTAGCCTTTTGCAGTAATCATGTTATAAATGACATTCCTACCAAGAGGAAGGCATCAGTACACAGTACACAGAGAGGCTGAGTAGTCCAAGATGAAGTCTGACTGTCCAGTTCACCAACATCTCTAAAGTCTTGCCTCCACTGAGTCAGGCTTTCTCAGACTCAGGCCCTGAAGAAGCTCAAACTGCCCCTGTTGGAGGGGACAGTCACCTTCCCATGGGGTGGTCAATGTGGCTTTTGTGGCAGAGTACCTAGAAGGACTCAAGAGCTAATAATGGTGTTTGTCAAGGTCTATTTACTCTGCCTGCTTTTTGCCCAGCGCCCTTAGAAACACTGCAATATGGATGCTCTCAAGCAACTGGGAAGGGTAGGGTAAGGCCAAGGAGTCGGGCACGATCCAAACTGCACCGCATCTTCACTGCCTGCCCAGGCCCACCCCCATCCCAGTTATCCCAGTAGAATCAGTAGTAGTTTTGACCTTAAGACTCAGCGTTCTTACCATGTTGAACTCACTGGAACTGGGTGTCACAACCCTGGATTCTAGTTCTCACTCTGTTGAGAATGTCTGCTGTAGAGTGCAGCACCAGCCTCTGGTGGGTACTAACTACATGGCTGAGGAAGGAGTGAATGAAAGAATGAATGAAATAGCTGGCTGTGACCTTGGCAAACCATTTCCCCATTCATAATCCTGGTTTCTACATCTACAGATTTGGGATTATGGTGATCTCTCCCTTAGCCACCTTCAAACCCCTAAGAGTAAATAAATGGATAATTATAAATAGTGGGTAGGCACCAGAGTTCTAGGCCCAGACAGGTCAGGAACCACACACACCCCACAGCTGATGATAACTGTGAGGATCAAATGCAGTGGTGTGCTGGGTAGGGTAGCACACACCTGTAACCTCCGCACTTGGAAGGCAGAGGCCAGAGAAGAAGGATTAGTGGGGGTTCAAGGCTAGCCTGGTCTACATAGGAAATTCTAGGATATCCAGGGCTACTACATAACAAGAACCTGTCTCAAAACAAAATAAAAGGCAAAACTTACATTTAAACCACCTAGTTTAACTAACTAAAAAGTGTCCCTCAAATTCTGAATAGGATTTAAAAATTTTTTTAAATTACATTTATTTGTGTGTGTGTGTGTGTGTGTGTGTGTGTGTGTGTGTGTCAGTGTGCACATGCATGTGCCCATGTGAGTCTGTGTTTGTGCACGTATGTGTCTATCTGTGGATGGGGGCATGTGCATGTGTGTCTATCTATGTGTGCAGGTTTGTAGGTGAGAGGAGAGCTGGTAGGAGTCAGTTCTCTCCTTCCACCATGTGAGTAGAGTCCTAGAGGCTGAACTAAAGTTGTCAGGCTTGGCAGCAAGCTCCTTTACCCACTGAGCCATGTTGCTGGTCCTGAGTGTTTTTTTTTTTTTTTTAAAGATGCAATTTTGCTGTGCTGGCCTGCCTGGTTCAAACAGTCTTTTTTGTTACATCTCAAGTGGATGTGACTATAGGCTTCCAGCTTAGCTGTGATTTCTTTTCTCCCTTGAGACAGGATCTTGCTAAGTAGCTTAGGATGGTCTTAGACTTGCAATCCCCTGTCTCAGCCTCCCAAGTGCTCAGACTGCAGGCATGTGACCACCTCGCCTAGCTTTGGGTATGATTTTTATTGACGCTCTTCTTCTAGAAGTACTGATTTAACATGAAGGAGTGGCTGTAGGGCTGGGCAATGGTTCGCTGGGTAAAGTGATAGCCTTGTAGGCACAAGGACCTGGGTTCTGGTCCTCAATACTCTTGGAGAAAGCCAGATGGGGAAGTGTTCACCTGTGATGTCAACATCAGGGCTGGGAAGACAGAGACAGGAAGATCCCTGAGGCATGCTGACTAGCCAGCCCAGTCAACTAGGGAGCATCAGGTTCAATGAGAGACTTGGCCTCAAGACGTGAGGTAGAGGATGATAGAGGAAGACATCTGACGCTGACCTCTAGTCTCCATGTGCACCCACACGTGTGCACACGAACATACCACACACACCCAAGGGACTGGGTTGTAGCTCAGCACCATGAAACACACACACACACACACACACACACACACACACAGAGCTGTGGTGCTGGGGATTACAATCCATAACATGCAGTGGGCTGGTGAGATTGCTTTGGTGGGGGGGGGGGGTCTCCATGGTTGCATTAAGAACTTGGAGAACTGTCTGCTTCATCTCTGTGATTCTGACATCCCCTCACCCAGCCGGTCCTAACCTGCTGTGCCCCCCTGATTGTAGTAGGTCATGGGTTCCCTTTCCACTCCCATAATCGACCTGCAATGTCTTCTCCTAATGATCTCGCTGGGAAGAATTCTCTGCAGTACTTGGGAGGTCCCTCCTCTGCCCAGTTTCAACCCAGGCCCTGGTGATGGCAGAGGAAAAAAAAAATGCCCGGTTTTATAGTCAGCCCCTTGGAGCCTCTCATGGAAATGCCACAGACCCTTCAGACTAGACGCCAGCCTCAGCGGCAGCGGGCGCCGCTCTAAACCCCCAGCTTTGTACTAAATATAGTGGCAGGAGGGAAGGTGTGGATTTGGGGGGAATCTAAGCAGAGGGAGGGAGTCAGGGAGGAGAACGGGAGGGGGAAGAGGGGCGGGAGAAAGGAGAGAGACGGTAATGATGCGAGCGAGAGAAATAAAGGAAGGCAGAAAAGATGCCGAAGAGGTTAGAAGCAGTGTAGACGATGCAGGAAAGGAAGTCAGGCTGAATGAGGGGAGAGAGAGGACGTGCAGGCTGTGCTCCCAGCTGGAAGTGAAGCTCAGCACAGGTGTCAGTGGGGTGAGGACGCCCAGAGCGCAGCCGGAAGGATCCCCAGGCCACGCCCCCCATCTGGCTAGGCCACGCCCCCGTCTGGCTAGCCAGCTGGGAGCCCTCTGTTAGAGTTTATATGCTGCAGCAATGATTGACTGAAAACGACACAACTTTCCCGCCCCCAGTCTGTCCCCACACAGGGACCAAGGTCCAGCTTAGCTACCCCTGCAGACTGGACCCAGCCAGCTTCCTGCGGTCTGGGACCCAGACTGGATGGAGCTTTTCCGAGGTGGTGGTGGTGGTGGTGGTGATGGTCACCATGGGAAGGGGCAAAGTAGGCCTGGCCAGAGTGATAGTGGGATTATGGTAGAGCCTAGTGAGAAGGGCAGCCTGGAGGCACCTGAGAGATTCTGTTCTCGTGCCTTCAAATACCTGTCTCCCCTTGGGCTTGTCGGTCCGCTGAATTGAGCCAGAGGAGGCTGGCCCTGTGAGTTACGCTGTGACTGCCCCTGAGAGTGGATGGTTCTGGGAAGACAGAGGATCGCTGTAGAGAGTCACCCGGCTGGAGCAGCAGCACTTGGGGATTTCCAAGGCATGGGCAACCCACTGTATTTCCATCTAAGACTTCTGTGCAAAGGCAAGACATGCTTTCCCAGCAACTACCAGCCCTCCTTGGGGATAGAGACGGCTTGTATGTGATCAGGGCTCTTGGCTGTGCCGGTGAAGGACGGACCTGGGGGACCTGGGGTAGGGAGAAGGGGCTGGCAGTCTTCACAGCTCTAAGTATCGGTTCTCAGTAGCTGCTCAGCAAACACTTGTGGGTGGTGATATAGAGCAAGAAGACTGAGAACCTGGGGAGAGAGGACAAGGCTGGATCGCTCCCTTTTCTGTTTGTCTTATCCCTTTCCCCTTTCCTAGAGGCTGGGGCGGTGGGGGAGGGGGGAGGGAAAAGGGAAGCCTCCAGTTAGAGGACAGGGGGAGATAAATGAGTCCTGTCGTCCTTTACCCAGGCTCCACAAGAGCAGAAAAGTCCTTCTCCCACATGGGAAGAACAACTATTATTTATGAGCCTGTCTGAAGAGGAGCTCCACATGAGGAGGGACAGGGGTGAGTTTTCTTAAAGGCACAGGAGGGTCTGCTGGGGAAATGAAGGGTCAAGGGACACCTTCCAGGATAGAGGAAACAGGAAGAAATGAGATCTACTGCAGTGAGAAGTCTGAGCTGCCCAGTCTGGGAGGTGAGAGGAGAGGTCATTGAGAGCAGGAAGGACCCGGGGTTTTCTGACACCTTTGTCCTCAGAGACAGACTATCATGCCTCTGCTAGTGCTGACCTGTCCAGAGTCCAGAGCCAGCAGGAGAGACGAAAGCCCCTGACCTGCGGACACACACCTGTAAAACCTGGGAATCTGTACTGGGCTAGGAGCCTTGCATTAGCGGGCTGGAAACAGGAATGTCCCCTCCCAGGTTTGGGCGGGAGAAAGCACCCCAGCTGATCTGGGTTGGGGAGGGAACCCTGAGCACCGAAGGCCTCCAGAGAAAGAGCCTGGGCAGAAAGGGGAGCATGCGGGGTGCGGGAGAGGAGTGGGAATGGGAAGGGGCAGAAGCGGCATTGGTTAGAGGGTGACATTTGGGACAGGGCTGGGGGTCCAGCCACAGCAAGGCAAGGCAGGGCAAGAGGTGAGGCTGCAGAGCCGCAGACAGGAAGGGCGTGCAACCCAGCTCCTGCCAGGTGGGGAAGGAGGGGGAGGAGGGCCAGCCTCAGGAAAATGGGGAAAGAAGAGGAGGTAGGTGAGAAGGCCCAGCTGGCAAATGGAGCATGGGAGAGAATAGAGCGGCCTGGGGTCTGATGGGGAGGGAAGGGTGTGTGGGTGGGCAGCCATGACGGGAGAGCGGTTGAGCCAGCAAAGGGAAGAGTACTGCTTCCCCCCCCCCTTTCATTTCAATTGCTATCAATAATACATTCCCGAGGAGCCGCCTTTGACAGCAATTAAAAAAGCATTTATGCTCCCAGAGAGAAATCGGAATGATTCCTCCCACCGCCCTCCACTCTCCGGCAACAGTCCCTAGTGATGATTTCCCTGGTGGTGTGTCCAAACTGGGGACACACGAGGGAGGGGAATGGAAGGGGGCCAAGGAATATTCTCTCCCTCTCTCCCTCTCCGAAGGCGGACTAGCTGAATGTTTTATACCAGGCTCCTCCAGAGTGTGGGTGGCTGTGGGGAGATAGGGTATGCAGAGGCTGGAGATTTTAAATACACAGTCAAAACCCTTTTCTGATAACCAAGCCTCACGGAGCAGGGGAGGGGGGCAGGACGTGGGCGGGGTGGGGGGGGAGGCTGGGCCTCATCAACCTGCTGGTTGGAGAGGGCTTTTGTTTCTCTTTGCTGAAGGGCCAAGAGTCTGGGAGGTTGAGCAGGGTACCGTTCATTTTAGACCTTCGCTGAGCCGCTGCAGTACGTCAGGACCCACTGCTTGTGGTAAAGGCGCTTTACCACAGGACAGAGGCAGGTCAGCCCTGCAGAAGGTTGTCAGACAGGCAAGACCCTTCCAGAGAACTGGGTGGCTGTGTAGTTGGCGGTAAGGGGACACAGGGAGGCCAAGAGAAGCTTGGAGTGGCAGTTTGGCTCATACCCTGTGATCCTGGCACTTACGAGACTGAGACAGAAGGATAGATAGCCTTGAGGAGGCTAGCCTGGCCTACAGAGTGAGACTGTTTCAAACAAAATGAAGAAAGTTCAATCCAGCAATAGTGGAGAAGAAAGGAGGGGAGGGAGGAAGGAAGGAAGGAGGGAGGGGTAGGGGCTGGGGCCCGGCAAAAGCTCCTGCTTGGGAATCCTGCCCCTTGTTAGGCAGCCTTCCCTGAGGGTTTTGTGCCAGGCACTGCATAGGTAAAACTTCTCTACTCAACCCTTGCAATTGCCGCACAAGGGGCACACTCTTCTACCAACCGAGACACCACTGAGGAAAGAACAAGTGTGTCGTTCACCAGGGGTGGCAGAGGGAAGCGACAGCTCCAGGGTAAAAGCCTTCGTCTACCCCCTCACTGGCCCATGCTGCTTCACATAGAGTTAAGTCCAGCAGCGATCTCCCATCTGGGATCCTACCTGAGGGTGACCTTCCACATCTGGGGAGCTGGGTGGTACGGTGCATGATCAGCATGCATCAGCGAGGTCCTGGGTCCTGTCTCCAGCACCCTTTACCCTCCAAAAGGAAGGAGAGGCTGGAGGCCGGCCTCATGGCATGTGCCTATAGTCGCAGCACTCTTGGAGCAGGAGGATCACATTTGAGGCCAGCATGGGATCAAAAACACGAAACAACAGCAAAGCCTCAAACAGCCTTCAAAGGGGACGGGTTCCGTGGGTTTATAGAGATAATGGAATATCTGCCGGTTATCAAGAGCCCTTTGTGTCTGAAGACAGACTAATCCCTAGAACATATTGTTTAGTAAAAATAAGTGCAAGCACATAGCAATATGTATAATATCCTGCCATCTGTGTGAAAGGGGGAAAGAAGGAGCATTTCCATACAGTTACTATCTTGCATGATGTATCTTCTGCTTCTCAAAAGGGCCACTAGGGTTTTGGACACCAACTTGCGGTACTTGGGAGGCAGGGTGAGTTCAAGGCCAGCCTGGGTCACTGGGTAAGTTCAAGGCCAGCCTGGAACCTCAGAAAGACTGTCTCAAAATAAAAAACAAAATAAAGAAGGGATAGAGCACGCCACCATTATTTGACACCTCAAGTGTCAAGGTACATTGTTTAACCCTTTGAGTCCCTTTGCCGCCTGTCATAAGGGATTCCCCTTCCTTGTGGGTCTTTTGCTAAAAAAGAGGTCGACACAGGGTTTCGTAGATTACTGTGAGCTCTGAAAGGAGCTGGCCGTGAGAAAGGCTGCGTGGTGCGCATACCCCTGCTGCTAAGATGCACTGGTGTCTGAGTTTCATGAGTGAGGAGATGTGGAACTCACCAGGTAGGGAGCCCTGGTTTAGTGCTAAGCAGCTCTGACCTGTGCATGCCCCCCCCCCAAACCCCAAGGTGTGTCCATCTCTCAGTAGAATTCTAGGCTTTCTCAGCCTCTTTTCTTCAAGCAGCTTCCCATTGTCCCCAAGGACCAGAGGCCCTGCTGCCGGAGGATGGGGTTTGTAAGGGCCACATAAGAACAAACACGGGCTGAGCAGTGGCAGGGCTGTGTGGAGACCTGAGTCAGAAGAACATGGTCGAAACAGGGACTCCACATCTATTACTTTATGCCGGCGAGTCTCAATTTCCTGCCCTGCTGAATGGATACTCACCCATAAAGACCAAGTACATAAAAGTCCAGGGATAGCTGTGCGAAGCTTGTTTTTTTTTTTTTTTTTTTTTTTTTAATCTTAGAAACTTAATATATTTTCTCAGTCCTAGGTATCAAATAGAGCCTCATGGGGTTAGGCAAGGATTCTACCCCGAGTCACATCCTCCAAACCTTGGGATGGTTTGGATACGACTATCGTAGAGACTGATAAAGAGGTCAGTAGACAAACTCTCCAACCATGCTAAGACCAGTCTGGGCTTTCAAAGGAATCTGATCTGATTAGGACAGGTGCTGGCCGCTTCAGCTGTGAAGGGGGCTCAGGAGTAGGCTGCTGAGCATGGGCAGGGAAGGAAAGCTCAGTGGGCAGCTACAATGACGTTTCTGAGTTTTTTCCCATTCACTGAACAATTAGTTCAGTGGGTGTCCTTTTATGGATTCTACTGGGAGAATCCAAGAAAAGATAAGACATAGTGACTCTATCTTATCCTTGAGAATTTCTCTGGCTTACGTGGAGGGCAGAGGTCGTTCAGTCAACTGAACCACTTGGGAAATGGCTCTGATGGATGCCTAGGGTAGATTAGCCACAGTCTCTGCTCTCCAGATGCGCACGGGAGGGGTGGGGGGCGGGGGATGATTCACAGCACGTGAGGCTTGATTCTTCATGAGAGGAAATTACCATTGTGCCAGCCGCTTGTGTGGGAACTGAGAAAAGCGGCAAGTGGTCAGGGCTGAGGAGGCTAAGCCAGGGGAGACTTCCGGAAGAGGAAGGAGCTAACCTGGATAACCAGGGAGCCATGCAGGTGTGGGTGACCCCGTAGAACATGCAGAACAGAGGATAGGTTCAAGAGGGTGACACCTGATGAGGTAAACAGGAAGGGAGCTGGCAGAGAGACAGGAGCCAGGGAGCAGATGAACTTTCCCCCCAAACCCCCTCTGGCCAGGCAGCTGTACCCAGCTGTGCACCTGGTGTTGAATCATCTGCTCGATATTCTTCCCTGCTTTACTCAGGCATTTATCTGGTCAATATCGGAGTGAATAGGAGCCATTAACCCTGGGCAGGGACAAGAGCAGGTGCCACGGTGAGGTAAAGGCACAGATAAGCCCCGGCAGTTGTGAATGACTAGTCACTAGACTGTCAGACTGTGGCCACCTGACTTTTGCGGACCTCAGCCTAGTTGAGAAAACAAGGAACCCAGGCCTGGCTGGTCTCTTCCCTAGCTTTGTGTCTGCATTAAAGCCCGCCCACGCCAGGGACGTGCTGGACCTCCTGGGAGCCAAGCCTGGCAGAGTCAGATAAATATTGATTGTCTGTTCAGCCATCCGTGCAGAGAACCAGAGAGGCTGGGCAGGCGGGGGAAGCCTAGTAGGCGGTCCTGATGTGAGGGAGTTGGGCGGGGCCCAAGGCTGAGAGGAGCGGCAGGTGTCCTAGGGCGGTGAGCACCCACCCTTAGGATCTGGGGCTGTTGTTAGCTGGGAGCAGGGAGCATCTGGATGAGCATCGGGCTCCAGCAGACTTGTCTTTAAGCTAAGAAAGGCTTAGAGGCTGTTGAATTGTTTTCAATACCTCCTTGTATGGCTGCACCATTCATGACAGTTTTCTCTGGTGACTTGAGAGGTCATGGGACCCTACCCCAGGCTCAAGAAAGACTTGAGTGATCCACCGAGTCTGGAGCTGCCGCAGTGAGCATGAGACGCTCTCAAGGAGGGATTCCCAAACTGAGAGTAGGGGTGCATGCCGGTAATTGCAGCATTTGGGAGGTGGAGGCAAGAAGATCATGAGTTTGTGGCCAACATCCAGCTACACAGTGAGCCTGGGG